CAAGCTAGCCCAATCTTCTCAGATCTCAGAAGCTCCGCAGGGTCACCCATGGTTCATATTTGGATGGGAGACCACCAAAGGAAGCCCAGGGTTGCCGTGCAGAGGAAGGCAAAGGGCAAACTGCCTCTGCTCACTGTTTTTGCCTAGAGAACTCTATGGGGTCACCATAAGTTGGCTGTGATTTGATGGCACTTCACACCTAACAGTATTATTTCCCGTGTGTTATTTCTTTTATTTCTATTGTGGCAGCTGTGGGGTGAGAGACAGGGAGGAGGAAAGCTCTGAGGCAAATGCCTTCTGGACTTAAGAATATCCGGTCTTCCACTCTGGCCTCTCCTATCGATTCTTTATACCCCAACCACCCAAAATCAAATAAAAAGGGGAACACAACCTTTTTTGGGGGGGGGGGAAGATTGGTAGTGTGTAAGCTATGTGCTCCTTAAAGATCTCTTTTTTGGGTGGCTCAAGTGGTTAAGACCCTGAACTGCAGGCTGTGGAAGGTCGGTAGTTCAGCAGTTCGAGACCTGGGTGCCGCATGATGGAGTGAGCTCCCGTCTCACGTTCCAGCTCCTGCCAACCTAGCAGTTCGAAAGCAAGACATTGCAAGTAGATAAATAGGTACCACTTCGGTGGGAAGGTAACAGTGTTCCGTGCGCCTTGGTGTTTAGTCATGCCGGCCACATGACCACGGAAACGTCTTCGGACAGCGCTGGCTCTTCGGCTTTGAAACGGAGATGAGCACCGCAACCCTAGAGTCGGATTCGACTGGCTTTCGAGCAAGGGAACCTTTACCTTTTACCTCTTTGGAGCTCTTTTTTAAAAAAAACTGATGAAAATGTCCTTTTTTGGGGTTGGAAGGTTAGGAACATTCCTAGTTAGTAGCAATAATCAGAGCTTAAATAGTAGGGGTATTTAAAATGAGAATTGTCATCGTGATCAGTTGTTGAAGTAGTCAGTCATAGAATCATAGAACGATAGAGTTGGAAGGGACCTCCAGGGTCATCTAGTCCAACCCCCTGCACAAGGCAGGGATATGGTCAGGGACCGGCCTACCTGAGGGACCGCCTTTCCCCGTATGTTCCCCAGAGAGCACTGCGATCAGGATCCCAAAACTGCCTGGACCTCCCTGGCCCTAAGGAAGTCAGGCTGATGTTAACCTGGATGAGGGCTTTTTTGTTTGTAGCTCCATCCTATTGGAACGAGCTTTCTGCCGAGATCAGGGCCCTGTGGGACTTGTCACAGTTCCGCAGGGCCATGAAAACAGAACTTTTTAGGCAGGCATTCCGATAGGAGCGACATCTTACCAGCAGGGCCCTGTGTGAACTCCGATCCAACACGACCTAGCGCGGTGGCACCGCTGAATGTGTCCCTAAACTGCACTTTAGTTTCATCGCCATCCAATGAATGTTTTATATTGACTGGCTGTGTTTTAAATGATGTTTTGTATTTTTATTGTGAATGTAAACTGCTTGTCAGTTTTTGGAAGCCGCCCTGAGCCCGCCTCGCGGGGAGGGCGGGGTAAAAGTGAAATAAATAAATAAATAAATATATAAATAAATACAATACAATGCAGCTTACAATGCAGTCGGGAAATATGTCCTCTTTTTTGCTTTTCAAACTATGGTAACCCTAACTTAGATATAGGACACAGATTGAGACCAGTGGCACCTAAGATTGCCAGTTCCGAGTTGGGAAATACCTGGAGATTTTGGGGGATGGAGCCTAAGGAAGGCGGGGTTTGGGGAAGGGAGAGACTTCAATGTGGTATAATGCTAGTCTGGTGTAGTGGTTAAGTGCGCGGACTCTAATCTGGAAGGAACCGGGTTTGATTCCCCACTCCTCCCCTTGCACCTGCTGGATGACCTTGGGCAAGCCACAGTTCTTGAAAAAGAGCAGTTTCTGTCAGAGCTCTCTCAGCCCCACCTACCTCACAGGGTGTCTGTTGTGGGGAGGGGAAGGGAAAGGAGTTTGTAAGCCACTCTGACTCCTTTGGGTAGTGAAGGGTGGGCTATAAATCCAATCTCCTCCTCCTCCTTCACACTCTCTCCTTTCCTGCCTCAGTCATCAAGGTCATAAATCCAATCTCTTCTCTTCTTCTCTTCTCTATAGAGTTCACCTTCCAAAGCGGCCATTTTCTCCAAGTGAACTGAGATCTCCAGCCACCCACCCGGAGGTTGGCAGCCCTACACTTTTAAGACCAACGACGTTTAACTCTGGGCATAAGCTTTCATGTCCATGCCCACTTCGTCAGACACACGGAAGCTTATCCCCAGAATTCAACTTTGTCGATCTTAAAGGTGCCGCCGGACTCAAACATTGTTCTGTTGCTTCAGACCAACATGGATGCCCACCCGAACCTAACAAGATATACAAAGTAAAGCTGGCTCTCAGATCAAGTCAATAAACCCAGAAGGGAGATCTGATTCCCCTTTCTCTGGACAGGGGTGCACCAGAAGGTCCAAGGCTGCTCTTTTCTCTCGCAGAGCGCCTTTCTGCAGAACCTGCACACACCAGTTAGGAATGACGGTACCCGAACAGGATGCTTATTTCCAGGGCTATTTTTGGGCAGGAACGCACAGGAACGGAGTTCCAGCTGGCTTCCGAGTTCGCCACGCCCACTGCGGCCAAAATCTCTGCACATGCATGGCTACAGAGAAAAGGCCTGCAGAGCAACCCCCCCAGCGACTCTGAGGCGGCCGGCCCAGGGGGGCTCCTGGAAGGATCATCAGGGAGACATTGAAATGCCTCCCCGTGCCTTCCCCGATCTGTCCGAGGGCTGGCTTGCCTGGGCTCCCCGCAGCTGCGGGGCCCCCGGGCAAGCCAAGGGAAGGCAGTTTAAACTGCCTTCCCTTGGGGGGGGCTTGCTCAGGCAAGCCAAAGGAAGGCATGGGGTGTGGCCTAATATGCTAATGAGATGCGATGTCAGGGTGTGGCCTAATAGGCTAATGAGTTTCTGCTGTTGGGTGTGGCCTATTATGCGACTGAGTTCCAGCTGGGCTTTTTCTACAAAAAAAGCCCTGCTTATTTCTACCACTAAAATAAGCCTTCTTCACTGAGCCGACCCCCAAACCCTAACTAGAAAGCCCAATAAAAGCCTGGCGAAGCTGACACTCCATTCCAGAACCAAGAAATCCCTGTTCATGATAGGAGGCAGGCTTCAGACTGGAATTCCAGTCCCCTTGAGGTTCCGTCCAATGAGAATAAAGATTGCTCGTCTTCTTCGTATCAGTCCTCCCATTGGATTATTACGACCAATGAGACGATTCGGTACAAACCAGGTGTTCGGCTGGGGTTTGAAATGCCAGAGTGCTTCCCTGTACCGGCTCAATAGCTTCAGTTGACAGTTATGAAGAGGACAAGCTTGGAATCCGGGCGGGGCAGAGCGAGCCTGCCTGCCAACTGTCAGTGCAAAAGGAGATGGACCTAGAACACGAAAGGGGTTTTGAGCATATTGTTCTTTTGTGTGATTCGTTCCTATTGTAAAATAGTTAATGATTGTGGGTATTATTCATCGAGGGAGGGGAGGTGCCTCGGTGGCAGGGCAATGCCTGTTTGTGGAGGGACCGGCAGGCAACTCCACTGTTTGGTGAGCCAGTTTGGTGCAGTAGTTAGGAGCGCGGACTCTAATCTGGGAGAATCGGGTTTGATTCCCCCACTCCTCCACGTGCAGCTGCTGGTGTGACCTTGGGTCAGTCGTAAGTTCTCTCAGAGCTGTTCTCTCAAGGGCAGTCCTTGAGAGAGCTCTCTCACCCCCCACCTACCTTACAGGCAATGCTCCCTCTAAGCTGTGGAGTCTTGTGAGCAAAAATGCTACTTTGTGAGCTCCTGGCATTAAAGTTGGGAGCCAGCGATTTGGCTGCTGCATAAATGAGTTTGCTCTGGAGCCGTCCTTCCTGAGTTAAGACAAAAAATGTGTCTGCCGGAGGCTAAAAAACTGTGACCTAGCTCACACTAACTCAGCTTAGAGGGAACACTGCTCGCAGGGTGTCTGTGGTGGGGAGGGGAAGGGAAAGGAGTTTGTGAGCCGCTCTGAGACTCCTTTGGGTAGTGAAGGGCGGGGTATGAATCCAATCTTTTCTTCTTCTTCTTTTACCTCACAGGGTGTCTGTGGTGGGGAGGGGAAGGGAAAGGAGTTTGTAAGCCGCTCTGAGACTCATTTGCAGGGCCGGCTCACTCACTAGGCGAACTAGGCAATCGCATAGAGTGGGCCGGCCCTTAGGGGCGCCAAACTGCACCCGGCCCCATAGTCTGGGAGTTTCTTGATTATTTGTGTTTTTCATTCTTCCTAAAATGCATTTATTTTTGAAAATTGGTGGGCGCACGAGGAGGGCGGCGCCAGAAGGGATCCCCGCCTAGGATGCAAAATAAGCTGGGGCCGGCCCTGCTCATTTGGGTAGTGAAGGGCGGGGTATGAATCCAATCTTTTCTTCTTTTACTTCACAGGGTGTCTGTGGTGGGGAGGGGAAGGGAAAGGAGTTTGTAAGCCGCTCTGAGATTCCTTTGGGTAGTGAAGGGCAGGGTATAAATCCAATCTCCTCCCCCTCCTCCTCCCCCCCCTCCTCCTTCTTCTTCTCTCCTTTCCTGCCTCAGTATCAAGGTCATTATTTGGAACATGGGCCATGGGTAGGGTTGCCAACCTCCAGGTAGCACCTGGAAATCTCCTGCTATTACAATTGAGCTCTAGACTGCGGAGATCAGCTCCCCTGGAGAAAATGGCTGCTTTGGAGGGTGGACCCTATGGCATTGTACCCTACTGAGGTCCCTCCCCTCCCCAAACCCCACCCTACCTACACGCCACTCCCAAAATACTTGGGTATTTCATGACCCAGAGATGCCAACCCTAGCCACGGGCACCTCTTTGTCCTCAGCCAGGCTCTCCTCTAGGGTCCAGGCATCGGTTACTCAAAACGCAGAACGATTTGATCGATACTAAACAAGCCGATCAGTCATGTCGAAGTAGGAAGAGACCCATGTCTTCAGTGTCTTTTTATATGCCACAGCCTTTAAAGCCGCTGTCCTGATCCAAAGATGGTACCGACGTTATATGGCCCGGCTCGAAATGCGCCGGAGATGCACGTGGCGCATTTTTCAATCCATAGAATACGCAGGAGAGCAGGACCATCTCAAGGTACGTCAAGTTTTTCTGTCGGCATTGCCAGCGTTGCCTCAGCAAATGCTGGGAGATATTTTTTTTAGGAGGGTGGAGATTGGGGATGATGTGATGTCACTTCCAGGTGACACTCTAGGAATTCCCCCAGTCTCTGTGGTACAGGCCATAGAAAAATGGGGGGAATTCTAGAATGTCACTATGGAAGCCATTTTCCAGCCACTTTTCCCTCATGGTCCTCAATTTCTCAAGGGTGAGGAACTGGGGCTAAGGGTGGGGGTTTGCATGATGTGGGTGGGCAAATGGCAAGCCTCATGTCTGTGTTGTTCTAAACTTCCTGTCAGTGATCAAAGGGATTATGGGTTGGATCTAGCCAACTTTTCCCCTCAACCTCCCTCATTTCCTCCGTTTACAGCAGCACCTGCCCCCCCCCGTGGCTTTTCTCCTTGCAGGCCCCATCACCCCTCAGCATAACCTTTTTGGTGACAAAATACAGGGCCAATCCGAAGGGGAGCCGGAACGGCCATTTGTCCTGGGCCACAAGCTCAAAGGGGCCCTCACATTGAGACAATTTGGGGGGGCATTTGTTAAGTTTCACAACTTGATTTTAATACACGTCAAGGGTCATTGTTTCTTTATTTTTATTGTGGCTCAGGGCCTCAAAAGCTGGAAGGGGCCTGGGTCTCTCGGAACCTCTGAGTTCTCCTCTTCCCTTTTTCACCAGCATAAAAGCTACTTGGATCCAATCCTATGTGTTCAGGATACTCTTCAGATTAGGGTCGGCAGGTCCTTAACAGGTTCCGATGGGGGGGGGGCTCCAGTCTTTTTCCTGGAGTCTTCTGGCGTGCGCACATTGTGTCTGCGCCGCAGTAACATCACCCGGAAGTGACATCATTGTGCAGGGCATGTCACGTGGGGATGCTCTAGCATTTGAGGGGACTCTGGTTACCATAGAGTCACCCCCCCCAAATGCTAGAGCATCCCACATGCAATGTGCCCTCCGCAATGACATCACCTCCAAGTGACGTCATCACGCTAGGCATGGCGGGCGCGGGTGGGGCTCCCCCCACCAGCCAGCTTGGGGGGCAGCCAATGAAGGCTCCCGAAAGCAGAGGAACTTCTGCCTTCATTGGGGGGATGGCACCCTACTTCAGACATTCCAGATGAACTATTTGAGGTCTCCACCTCTTATGCAATCCACATTTCAGTTATTCAGTTATTCAGACTTATCGTGTAGCCTGTGGATACACTCGTGCCACCGTAACTTCAGTTAAGAAACACCCTCATTTACCTGGATGCCTGAAAATGCAGGTGCAGTGAATTGCTCCCTAAAACTTCTACCTCCAGGCACCAGCAATATAAGAAAGAGCCACTCCCTCTCTCCCTGTTTAGATTATACTTAAAACCAGGGCTTTTTTAAAGAAAAAGCCCAGCAGGAACTCATTAGCATAATAGGCCACACCCAACAGCAGAAACTTGTTAGCATATTAGGCCACACCCCTGACAGCGCAGCTCATTGGCATATTAGGCCACACCCCAGGAATGGCGGGGGGCGGGAAAGGCGGGGGAGCTCTGCTACTTACCTCCCTGCTTCTTGCTCCTCAAGGTCCAACTGAGAGCAGTTGGGAGCAGGGGGCGAGGCTTGCTGCATGTGCCCGCCCCCTGGGCTTGGAAGCCAGCCAGAACTCCATTCCTGTGCGTTCCTGCCCCCAAAATAGCCTTGCTTAAAACAGTGGAAATCACAACAAGAGATTGATATGAAAGTAGTAAGATTAACCAGAAAATATTGATTCCGCTAAATCCCATGTAAAGTTTACGTTGAAAGATGTCCAATTGGGTTCAATGGGCCTTTCTTCCAAATAAGTGTGCAGGGGGTTCTCAGCACCAGAATCTGTCTTTAGCCTTTGTGGCATAAATCATTAAGAACCATGGAAACAATGATTTCACCTGCAAAAAAGGATGGGCGGGGGAAGAAAACTTCTATTCAGCCTTGCCAGCTTCTCCCTGTGTTGACTCTGCTCCCCCCAGCTCCCCTCCCTTGCCAGCTCCCTCTAGGGTTGCCATCCCCTCGATGGGGGTGGGGTTTACCCACTTTCAGGGGGCCCAGTCCGCCACTGCTCAGCTGGCTGGCGGCGGGGAGCCCCACCCCCAAGCAGCCCTGTCTATACCGACATGCCCGGTGCGATGACGTCGCTCAGAGATGATGTCATTGCACAGGGCACGTTGCAGGGAGGATGCTCTAGCATCTGAGAAGAAAACTCTATGGAAACCATAAGGGTTTTTCTCAAATGATAGAGCATCCCCTGCAGTGTGCCCTGTGCGATGATGTCACCTCCAGGTGATGTCATTGTGCTGCACGTGCTTTGTGCGCGCACCAAAAGCTCCAGGGCAGCAGGCCGGAGCCCCCCACTGGCAACCTGGCAACCCTAGCTCCCTCTTCTCTCTCTAGGACCTTTTCTGCATTCTGATTTCCCTCCCTTGTGTGTTCCGGTGGCTTCCAGATTATTTTTTTCTGTTCCACATATGTTTTGCGCCCTCTAGTGGTCTATTATTACAGTGCTTTATGTCTGGCATATCTCCCGGCAGATTTAAACTGCAGGTTTTTATGCCTGACATAACGCAATGTAATATTGAATCGACCACTAGAGGGAGCAAAACACACACAGAAGAGGGGGGGACCCCCAAGGCCACAGGAACGCACAGGCGAGGAAGACGAGAATCTGGAAAAGCCCCAATGTCTTTCTGTTCACTTCCCCTCCCTTCTACAGTGTTGGTTTCAGCTTTGCTTCCTTCTGCGCTTCCCTCTTACTGGCTACTGCTTTCTCCTTCTAACCAGTTCTCCCGTAGTCCTATGGTCTCTCCTTTCCCCCCTCTCCTCTTTCTGACTCCCACTCCCCATTTCTGGGTGCATCCACAGTTGCAACATCGGGTACCATTTGGAGTTGCTATGTGTGCATGACACCCATTGTAGTTTAATGGGGAGAGTGTTGAACATGAGGAACTTCTGCTGAGAGCAATCTGCTGGTGATCCCTGGCCCCAAAGACATCCGGCTGTCCTCGATCAGAGCCAGGGCCTTCTCAGCCCTGACCCCGACCAGGTGGAACTCTCTGCCAACATCCATCAGGCCCTGCGGGACTTAATGTCGTCCTGCAGGGCCCGTAAGGCAGAGATGTTTCACTAGGCTTTTGGTTGAGGACAGCGACAGTTTCCCACCATAGCTGTCACCCTCCTCTTTTCTGAGAGCCAGTTTGGTGTTGTGGTTAAGTGTGCGGACTCTAATCTGGGAGAACCAGGTTTGATTCCCCACTCCTCCACTTGTACCTGCTGGATGACCTTGGGCAAGCCATAGTTCTGACGAGCTGTTCTTGAAAAGGCAGTACTTGAAAGAGCTCTCTCAGCCCCATGTACCTCAACAGGGTGTCTGTTGCGGGGAGGGGGAGGAAAAGGAGTTTGTAAGCCACTCTGAGACTCCGAGTGAAGGGCGGGGTATAAATCCAATCTCCTCCTCCTCTTCCTCTTCTTTTTTTTCTTTTTTCATCCTGCCACTTCTGCCTCCGCCTTAACATGTCCAGGTTTCATATCAAATTATAAATGCCATCAGAAGACGGTGACACTTTGGAATGAACTGATTGTTGATTTTAAATGATACTTTTGTATATTAATTTATTGTAAATTGCCCAGAGGTCTGTGTTGTAGTAGTAGTAGTAGTACTAGTAGTACTAGTAGTAGTTGTTGTTATTGGGATTCAGGTGGGTAGCCGTGTTGGTCAGAAGCAGTAGAACAAAGATTGAGTCCAGTGGCACCTTTAAGACCAATAAAGTTTAATTCTGGGTATAAGCTTTGGTGTGCACGCACACTTCCTCAGACACATTGAAATGGAAGTTATCAGTCCATACATATAGACGGCGGGTGAACAAAGGGAAATACTCCTTTACACAGAGAGTGATAAAAATGTGGAATTTACTGTCAGAGGATGTAGTGATGGCCACAGCTTTAAAAGGGGATTAGAAAGATTCATGTAGAGGTCTTTCAATGGCTACTAGTCATGGTGCGTGAGGGGAACCTCCAGGTTCAGAGACACCAATCCTCTGAATCCCAGAGCCAGGAGGCGACATCAGGGGAAGGCCTCGGCCCCTATGCCCTGTTGTTGGACTTCCAGAGGAACTTGTTGGCCATTTTATGAAACAGGATGCTGGACTAGGTAGACCACTGCTCCGATCCAGCAGGGCTCTTCTCATGTTCTTTCTTCTTCTCTCCTGCAGCTCAACCATTTCTTTGACTACCTTGTGGACCACTTCATGTCAAGCAACACTAAAGAGAGTAAGCCTCTGTGTGGAGCTAAATATCGTGCTTGGTGCACATTATATACAGAAAAGGCCATACAGCCATATCGGTCCATGCTAAATCCAAAAACAAGGATGAAATCATGCCTTTTACGAGAACCAACCAAGCTGACATAAAGCATTGTGCAAAATTTCATGCCCGCCAGAACTCTTTGTCAAGCGGGATGTTACAGATTTTAAAAAACAGAAAGTGGGAAATTGGATTCGAACCGGGGTTTCCAGCAGGCTGGGAGAAAAACGGGCTGTCCCTTTTTAATAGAGGCTTAACACGTGGAGATGGGCAACTTAAGTTTTTCATGGCATGGAGGTAAATAAGGAAGAAAAGAAGAGGACTCCGCCTTTGAAATAACTTCCTGACAGAGCGGTTAAGCGGTTCCTCAGTGGAACAGGCTTCCTCGGGAGGTGGTGGACTCTCCTTCTTTGGAGGTTTTTAAGCAGAGGCTAGTAAGCCTTCTGACAACAATGCTGATTCTATGACTCACTACAAATTTAGGCAGCTCGTGAGAGGGAGGACAGGGAAGGTCAAGCCACCACACAGCTTTTGTGGTCCTTTCTTATATGCCCAGGGTAATGCCAATCGCCACTTTGGGGTCAGGAAGGAATTTTCCTGCAGGCCCGATTGGCCCAGGGATCCTGGAGGTTTTTTGCCTTCTTCTGTGCATAGAGCAAGGTTCACTGGAGGAGTGCAGGTGAGAAGTACCTGTGAATTTCCTGCATTGTGCATTGGGCTGGACTAGATGACCCTTGGGGCTCCTTCCCGCTCTATGTTTCTCCCTCTTTTTGTTTGTGACGGAGGTAAGTGATCACTTGATGAATAACAGCCCATGAAGCCTCTATTTAAAAGGGAGAGGACATTTTTTTCTCTCCAGGCAGATAAGAACCCGATAGTGAACAGTCAAGCTGCCTAAAGAAAAGGCTCTGCCGAAATCTCTACTGCTATTTCCACTGGGGAGGAAGGGGTTAAAGAGCCCTTTCCCTAAACTGCTTGTGTGGGAGTGAATGGAGGTGAATGGGGGGGATCCAGATGAAAACAGAGCCGGCCCGGGCTCGGTGATGGAGCATCTCGTTTACATGCCGAAGGTTCCAGAGTTAGATCCCTTACTTGAGACCCCGGAGACCTGCTGCCTGTCAGAGTGGATGGTGCTGACCTTGATAGACAAGTGGTGTGACTCAGTAGAAAGCGGTTTCCTGTGGGTGTGTGTACATGCACCAGAATCTGGAGCAATAGAGTCCTGATGGGCAATGCTCCCGCTATGCTGTGGTGTCCTGCAAGCAAAAATTCCACTTTGTGAGCGACTGGCATGAAAGTTGTGAGCGAGCCATTTGGCTACTGCATAAATTAGTTTGCTCTGGAGCCCCATCCTTCCTGAGCGAAGACAAAAATGTGTGAGCTGGAGGCTAAAAAACTGAGCTAGCTCACACTAACTCAGCTTAGAGGGAACACTGCTGATGGGGTAGAATGGAGGACTATCCTGCTGTCAGTAGGCGGTGCTATTTGAAAATTCTCCTGTATGTAAACAGCAAACTACAAGTTAAAACAAAACCACAACTAGCACTTCAGGGACAAAGCATCTAACCCAGTCTGCTCCTTGCAGAGCTGATTTTCTACTTGGGGGGAGTTCTGGTGGTTGTTGTTGTTTTAAATAGGGGAGCAACCAAAAACGGGATCCTTCACCCAAAGTCTGAAGATGTCTGATCCATTCTGACCACCTCGTTTTGTTATAGGGTTACCAGTCCCCCCGGTGGAGGTGGGGTGCCCCATTGCCAGGCCCAAGCTCCCCACTGCCAATCAGCTGGCCGGCGGGGGGACTTACCAGGAGAGAAAGGGAGGCCCAGGCAACATTGCCGGGAATGTGGCAAAATCACTTCCGGCATGCACAGGAAGTGACGTCATCATGCTGGTGACACTCTAGTATTTGGGCAATGCTCTATGGTAGAAGACATTTTTAACATAGAGTTTCTACCCAAATACCAGACTGTCGCGGGAATGGCGCAGCGTGGTGATGTCACTTCTGATGCACACACACCCACCCCCTGCTGTTACTCGGGTCTCTGTTAAAAAACCGTTGTTAACCGTTTTCATAAATCTTACTGAAGATACCATCTAGATTTCAAGCTACCTTTTCTTTGTCTCCTAGGGGAATTCATTAACCGCGTTTTCTCCGAAAGCGACATCCCTAAAGATCCCAAAGTGGAGAAAGCCTGCAACTATGAATTGATCCAGGTGCCACTTCACTACGCAGGGCCCCGTCTTTCCTTCCCTCTCTCGCCGGACCACGCCACTGCCTTACTGGATGCATTCAAACAAGAAAAAGTAAGTATCTCAGGAGTAAGTGCGTCCTTTGCTTTCATTTTTTCCCCTTTGCCAGAAGGCCCTGGCCCATGCCAACATCATCACCAGCCTGACGACCAACAGCCTGGATCAGGGGTAGGCGACCATTCAAATGTTGAGAAAACGCCGCCATCTTTCATTGTATTTATACTTTGAGTAGTTATGGTTTTATATACTGTACTTTCAACAGCCAGGTAAGACCAGACAAACCTATCCCAAGCCGCTGTATTCTTGCTGGGGACAAGGCTCTCTCTGAAGGCCTGCTGTGACTTTTTCACCTTTTCCCAGTAGCAGCTCCACGCGCATTATGTCCTCAAACTCTTTCATGAGACTCTGAAGCATCTCTCTCAGCTGCCAAACATCAGCATCATCTCAACCTGCTACAACGAGGAGATCACCGTGTGCGGTAAGGGAGTGTTGTCGTTGCTATCGGCGGTATGGATGTTGCCCCGTCTAGACATGGGGCACTTTACAACGTGCTTTAGAAGTCAACCATGATTTCCACAAGCCCTTCTCAATGGCCAGACAATGATTTGGCTGTTACATCTGAACGGGGGTCAAAGAAAGCTGGGTATTTGTGGCCAAAAGGAACCAGAGCTGATAGTGGTGCCTTTGAGGAGCTGGACAAGTAATTCTCCGAGCATCTGATGCAGGAATCAATGGATCTGCTGCCTGCTGTTGTTGTACCAGCTTGGTGTTGTGGTTAGGAGCACGGACTCTAATCTGGGAGAACCGGGTTTGAAGAAGAAGAGATTGGATTTATACCCCGCCCTTCACTGCCCAAAGGTGTCTCAGAGCGGCTTACAAACTCCTTTCCCTTCCCCTCCCCACAGCAGACACCCTGTGAGGTAGGTGGGGCTGAGAGAGCTCTGACAGAAACTGCTTTTTCAAGGACAGCTCTTATCAGAACTACGGCTTGCCCAAGGTTATCCAGCCAGGTGCAAGTGGAGGAGTGGGGAATCAAACCCGGTTCTCCCAGATTAGAGTCCGTGCACTTAACCACTACATCCCCCACTCCTCCACATGCAGCTGGTGGTATGACCTTGGGTCAGTCACAAGTTCTCTCAGAGCTGTTTTCTCACGAGCAGTTCTCTCAGAGCTCTCTCAGCCCCGCCTACCTCACAGGGTGTCTTTTGTGGGGAGGGGGAGAGGAGATTGTAAACCGCACTGAGACTCCTTCGGGTAGTGAAGGGCGGGGTATAAATCCAGTCTCCTCCCCCTCCTCCTCCTCCTTCTTCCTGTTTGCCCCCACTTATATTCTGCTTGTATATTTGTAAATGAAGCAAATGTTGTGGACTGCCATGAGACTCTGGTGCTATTTCATCTAAAGGAGACTGAGGACTGTAACTTCTCACTGGCACTTGGTCTCGATCAGGCTCCGTACCAATAAGGGAGAAGCCCTCACTAAATTGACTTTTTCTTTATTATTAGGAGACTTGCATGGCCAGTTGAATGACTTGTTTCTGATATTTTACAAGGTATGTACTCCATGGTGGTGAACTTTATATGCTCAATTATATCTGCCAGGCGGATGATATAAGTAATTATTTCCAGTTCCACACACTCATGCAAATGCCAGAGCCTTGTTGAGCAGTTCAGCTAATAATAACAATAATGATTATCCTATGGCATTGTGTGTAGAATAGTCGGGAGATCCAAAGATTGTCTGGCAGTCTGAAGTTCTTTAGTGTTATGCACCACTAGGTGGCGAGCTAGTCTTGTTTTAAGGCTAGAGACATTTGCTAGCCTGGGCTATTGTCAGGGTGATAAATGGACCAGGTGGGCAATTATTCTCTTGAAGGATTTGAAAGGCTGTCACTTAGAGGAGGGCAGGGAGCTGTTCCCGTTGGCAGCAGAGGACAGGACTCGCAATCATGGGTTTAAATTTAAGGGTGGGAAGATACTGGCTGCATATCAGGGAAAGCTTTTTTACAGTCAGAGTTGTGCAACTGTGGAATCAGCTGCCTTGTGAGGTGGTGAGCTCCCCTTCACTGGTAGTCCTTAAGCAGCGGCTGGACAAACACTCGTCAGGGATGCTCTAGGCTGATCCTGCATTGAGCAGGGGGTTGGGCTAGATGGCCTGTCTGGCCCCTTCCAACTCTGTGGTTCTGTGATTCTATGAACCCTGCTTATCAGCCCGTCAGATCTCAGAAGCTAAGCAAGGTCGGCCTTGGCTAGTATTTGGAAGGGCGACCTCCGAGGAACACCAGGGTCATGAAGCAGAGGCAGGCAATGGCAAACCACCCCTGAACATCTCTTGCCTTGAAAACCTAACAGGGTTGCCCTAAGTCAGCTGCGACTTGATGGCGCTTTCCACTACCACACTGTTTTTCAATCACATAGGCTGTGGCGTACCACGACTTGTTCCCGTTGTAGATTTGATCGGGGATATTTTTAAGCGGGTTCAGATGATCACACATCCCTTACCCAACTGCTTGCATTGCACAACAATGCTCCAGGCACCGTCCAGACAGCTGCACCGCCCAAGTTTTTTAAAAAAATTCTTTGCACATGCGCACATATGCGCACAATGGTTAAAGTAAAAAAAAAAAACCTACCGGAAGAAGGACATTCAGACAACCCAATCGCAATCATTGTGAGAGATGGCTGTCCAGATTGGCAAAATCGCAGATTCAAAGTGGAAATACCCGGAAAGTACTTGATTTTCCCGGTGTCAGAAAACTCGCTAGGGAACCGGGAGGATCGTGCGAGTGAGCCCACTTTGGTGCAGGAGACAGATGTGGGCATCTGATCAGCAATTTTAAGTGCGAGAGGGAACAGCGGTGAAAGCTGATCAAAATGACCGTGTGACCACAGCCCAAGTCTGGGAAGGCTTTCAAAAACACCATGGCTCACTCATGACAACCATTTTATCCTGGCCCTTGACGATTACTTCTTAAAAGAACATATTTCTTCTCCTTTTCCTTTTAACTGGTACAGAACGGCCTTCCGTCTCCAGCAAAGAGATACGTGTTCAACGGTGACTTTGTGGACCGGGGCAAACAGTCCATTGAGATCTTGATCATTCTTTTTGCCTTCCTCTTGATCTACCCAAAGGAGGTCCACCTGAACCGAGGAAACCATGAGGACTACATGATCAACTTACGGTATGGCATCCCACATCTGTTGCAGGGAATCAGGCGCTTTTGGGGATCCTTTGGTTGCTGTACTTGTTTTGTTTTGTTTGTTTTTACCAATCATTGACTTACAGCCATATCATATCCTTACCCTTTTAGCTATGGGTTCACCAAGGAGGTCATGCGCAAATACAAGGTAAGCGACTTTGGAAAACTTGTTACTGTGCATTTTAAGAGAAGCCATGTTGGATCAGGCCAATGGCCCACCCAGTCCAACACTCTGTGTCACACAGTGGCCAAGACCCCAGTGCCATCAGGAGGTCCACGAGCAGGGCCAGAACTCCAGAAGCCCTCCTTCAGTTGCCCCCCCAAGCACCAAGAATACAGAGCATCATTGCCCCGACAGAATGTTCCATATATACCTTGTGGCTAATAGCTACTAAGAATGTAAGAGAAGCCATGTTGGATCAGGCCAGTGGCCCATCCAATCCAATCCTCTGTGTCACACAGTGCCCAAAACCCAGGTGCCATCAGGAGAGCTACAAGCAGGACCAGAACTCCAGAAGGTCTCCCACCGCTGCCCGCCCCCCAAGCACCAAGAATTCAGAGCATTACTGCCCCAGACATAAGAACATAAGAGAAGCCATGTTGGATCAGGCCAGTGGCCCATCCAATCCAATCCTCTGTGTCACACAGTGGCCAAAACCCAGGTGACATCAGGAGGTCCACGAGCAGGGCCAGAACTCCAGAAGGTCTCCCACCGCTGCCCGCCCCCCAAGCACCAAAAATACAGAGAAGCCACATTGGATCAGTCCAATGGCCTATGCAGTCCAACACTCTGTGTCACACAGTGGCCAAAACCCAGGTGACATCAGGAGGTCCACCATAAAAGCCAGGACTCCAGAAGCCCTCCTCCCACTGTTGCCCCCCCAAGCACCAAAAATACAGAGAAGCCACATTGGATCAGTCCAATGGCCTATGCAGTCCAACACTCTGTGTCACACAGTGGCCAAAACACAGGTGCCATCAGGAGGTCTATGAGCAGGGTCAGAACTCCAGAAGCCCTCCCACTGCTGTCCCCCAAGCACCAAGAATCCAGAGCATCACTGCCCCCAACAGAATGCTCCATCTACGTCTTGTGGCTAATAGCCACCGATGGACCTCTGCTCCATATGCTTATATAATTCCCTCTTGAAGCCGTCCCTGCTTGTAGCCGCCACCACTTCCTGCGGCAGTGAATTCCAAGTGTCAATCACTCTTTGGGTGAAGGACTTCCTTTGATCCATTCATTCATTTAATGGAGTGCCCACGAGTTCTTGTATTGTGCAAAAGGGAGAAAAGTACTTCTTTCTCTGCCTTCTCCATCCCATGCATAATTTTGTAAATCTCTCATCATGTCAGTTCCATCATGGGAGTTCCCTCCCCCACCCTCAACTGTGTTTCTCCTTCTCCCTTGTTTCCCTTGCCCTCCTCTGTCTAGGAACATGGGAATAAAATACTGAAACTGCTCCGGCATGTCTTCAGCAGCTTGCCGCTGGCCACCCTGATTGACCGGAAGGTTTTAGTTGTGCATGGGGGGGTGTCAGACACCACTGATCTGGAGCAGCTGGCCAGGATCGACAGGCGTAAGGTAGGGGTGCTTTGAGACCCTTTCACAGATGCCTCAAAAGCCACGCTTCCCTATCATCACACGCTTTCAGTTTCCCTGAGCAGTGAGAAAGGCCAGGGAAAACACGGACTAAGGTTGGTTTCCATTGCATGAGACAGCTCTGGAGGCTTATGGGGACCTTCATATTATTTGCCTTCTTTACAAATATACAAGCTCAGGTTGAGTCCAGCAGGCCCAGTGCCCCATATCATACATGTTATGTCTTGGGACTGAAACATCCCAGGACTGTTTCTACCAGAGACTGGCTGAGCTTGGAGCCCAAGAACAATAGCCCACCAGGACTCTGGAAGTAACCAATCAAGAAGTAATGTTTATGTAAATAGCCTATCGTTGGGATTGGGGTGTGTTTGGGCGTGGCAATTGCATGCTATTTAGCAGGGCTGTAGCCCTGGAGTTTAGCCTTATACTTGCTGAAATCACTAATAGAGTTGATCACTAGTAGTGGGGTCTGCTCATCCATGGAACCCAGTATTTAACAATACATGAGCGCATACATGAATCTGCCTCATACTAAATCAGGCCTTTGGTCCATCAAAGTCAGTATTTCCTTCTCAGATTGGCAGCGGCTGTTCAGAGTCTCAGGCAAGAGAGGTCTTTCATATCATCTTCTACTGGTCCCTTTTTAACTGGAGATGCTGGAGATGGAAACTGGGACCTTCTGTGTGCTAAGCAGATGCTCTGCCCGTGAGCCACCGCCCTTCAGTTCTCTAGAAAGAGAGTCTGTGCCAACTCTGTGCTCCGTCCTTCTGCTTTGACCTAACTACACATTCCACAGTCCTTGGGTTGTGTCCAGGTGCATCATAAGGTTGTGTCCAGGTGCATCACAAGGACTTCCCCACTGGAAACTCACTTCCAAGGTGCACGTGGGCCCAGGTCCAATCGTGGTACGTGGAGAGAGGGTTCTTAGGCCTTCTCCCCTGCACCATTCCCCTGACATGAAACGTCCCAAAGGAGCTGCTACATGCCGCAGTGGGAAGACGCATTTATGCCCTCTCAGCACATGTAAATCGCCCGACGGAAGCCTAAAAGCAGCCATAATCTGGAGAATGGAAATAAAACCTGCCATCAATACAACTTCAAAACATGTAAAGCAGGGTAAAATCTGGGGGGGAGATGGTTCATGGAGCCTCCTCAAAGACTCTTTGCGGAAGAACTCTGGAAGGCCATCGATGAGGGGTCCAGTGGGGTCTTTGGGGGAAGGAGCTCCAGAGCTCAGCCCACCTACGTTCCCCATCGAAGCCCTGAACTGACCACTGGCAGGTTGAAGAGACTCAAGCAGGCATTCCTCTGGGACCCAAGGGTAGTGGCAGGGGAACTGGCCCAAGATGAACCTCCTCCAAGCCCAAAGTTACCAGGCCCAGCCTGGCAACCATCAGGAGACTGGGAAGGGGAACATGGCCCCCCCCAAACTTCATGGTTTGATCATAGAGTTTCCAGTGATTCCTAGAGCGGCATGACATCACTTCTGGTGTCACTGGAAGAGGGCCTTGAATTTTTTGAGCTCAAAGGATGTGTTCAAAGCTTATCTACTGAATCAAATTGGCCCAGCATTTTGTACATGTGCCCCCCCCCCTTAATTCCTTTCAGGCCCAGACAATTCATGATTCATGACCCTGTATTCAGAATCAGTCTCTCTCTCACCCTCTCTGTCTCTCTTCCCGTTTTAGATTTTCTCTCTGTTAACCCAGAAGAGAAAAAGTGAGAAGATCCTGCGCCTCAGCGAAGTCGGCCCGGGTAGTGTTTCTGAAGTTTCACACCAGTCGGATATTTCCAAGCGAGTGCAGCAGTCAGTGCAGGAAGAACTGGAGTCGTGCCGACGGCAGGCGGGCCTCACCGAGCCCAGAGGACTGGAGCCTTCTATCGGTACCCCCTTGGCCTCTGTGTCGGAGCTGGACGTGAAATCCTTTGAATCTGTTGAAATGGAAGAGAGTGAAGTCAAGCAGGTGGGCTAGGGTTGCCAGGTCGGGGGAGAGTGGGTCTCGGTCTGGGACATTCGTGCGTACAGCGTGCGCACACCGTGATGACATCACCCAGAAGTGACGTCATCGCGCTAGGCATGTCGCCAGTGGACACTCTAGCATTTGGCTTGAAAACTCTATGATACCATAGAGTTTTCAGGCCGAATGCTAGAGCGTCCCCCTGGCGATGTGCCCAGCGTGATGACATCACCTCTGGGTGAGGTCATCATGCTGGGCACGTTGGCCCAATCCAGGCACTTTGGGGGTGGGGATCCCCCCTGCCAGCTGGATCTGGGCTAGGGTTGCCAAGTGAAATGTTCTTACCGGCGGGGGAGCCTCGCCGGGCTTCGGGAGCTGCTCCTCAATGTGTGTGCGCCCGTGCGCGCCGCCAGCACGTCACCGAAAGTGATGCGCGACGTCGATCACATTGAAGGCGTGGCCCCGATCGTCGGAGGGAAAACCATAGAGTTTTTCCTCCGACGATCGGGGCCACGCCCCCAAAGTGATTGACGTGGTTGCGTCCCCTCTGGTGACGCAGCCACGCTGAATCGGGCCTCCAAAGCGGGGGTTTACCCGCCCCCCGCCCCCATTGGCAGCCCTAATCTGGGCCGGCGGGTCGGGGGCCCTAAAGTGGGCTGGATTCCACCCAAGCACTTCACACCTCAGGGGTCATCCTGAGTAGGGAGACCCTTGCGTTAGATAGCTGAGAGGAGCCTTCACTTTCTCCTCTTTCGCTCTTGGCCAGAACCAAGTAGGGTTGCCGGGGGGGCCCCAGTGGAGGCAGGGGTCCCTCGCTGCCAGGCCCTCTGCCCGGCCACGAATCAGCTGGCCAACGGGGGGAGGGACTAATCCCAAAAAAGAGGGAGATCCATCTGACATGCAGCGACATGTCAATATCACTGCCCACATGACCTGTAAGTGACATCATCATGTCCAGGTTATCAGGGCGACGCTCTGGCATTGGGTCAAAAACTCTATAATAGAAACCAAATTTACCATAGAGTCTTTGCCAAATACCAGAGCATTGCCCCGACATCCCAGAAGTGATTATGTCACTTCCGGGCAATGCTCCGTCTAAACTGTGGAGTCTTGTGAGCAAAAATTCTACTTTGTGAGCTCCTGGCATGAAAGTTGTGAGCGAGCGGTGTGGCTGCTGCATGAATCAGTTTGCTCTGGAGCCCTCCCTTCCTGAGCTAAGACAGAAATGTGTGAGCCAGAGGCTAAAAAACTGAGCTAGCTCACACTAACTCAGCTTAGAGGGAACACTGCGTCCGGGTCATGTGGACAGTGCCGTAGGCACATCGCTGCATTGTCAGATGGGCCTCCGTGCTGCTCCCAGTAAGTCCACCCTGTCCCCCACTGGTTGTCAGGAGGGACCTGACAACCCTTGAACCAAGGATACGGTTGCCTCTGGCATTGTAGAGGAAGAAGAAGAGATTGGATTTTTGCCCTGCCCTTGGCAACCCTTGGCAACAGGTTAGTGTTGCCTAAATGTCTGCTGTAGTTCATTTGTAGAAAACCCGGTTGAAATTCAGAGCTGGGGAAGGGGGCGGAATTTTCTAGAACACATCGATTTCCGTGATTGCTGTTAATCTGGCCCAGAGCCAAAGCAGTATTGAACATGCCCAGTCTGTCCACCTCTGCAGGTCCTCGATATCCTGTGGAGCGATCCGCACCCTCAGGAAGGCTGCCGAATCAACGAAGAGCGAGGAGGGGGCTGCTACTTCGGCCCCGATGTGACGGCGCGCGTTCTGCAGAAGCACGGCCTCCAGCTCCTCATCCGCTCCCACGAGTGTAAGCTGGAGGGTTACGAGTTCTGCCACAACCGAAAGGTAGCTCAGTCAGACAGCTGGGAAATGTGGAGCTGGGGGGTAATGATAAGTGTTCACGTGACCTGATTGTGATTGGCTATCTGGGGGAAGTATTGCTAATTCCAAGCAGGCCCAATTCCGGGTTTTCGGAGGTCTCGGTCAGAGAGTTCCCAAGGCCGCTCCAACCTCCTCTGGCCATCACAAGGCCCTTTGGTTGGGTTGCCAGGTCTGGGTTGGAAAATACCTGGAGACTTTGGGGGTGGAGCCAGGAGAGGGCGGGGTTTGGGGAGGGGAGGGGCCTCAGCATGGTACAACGCTGTAGAGCCCACCCTCCAAAGCAGCCATTTTCTCCAGGGGAGCTAGTCTCTGTCAGCTGGAGATCAGTTGTTAAAAGCAGGAGATCTCCAGGCCCCATCTGGAGGCTGGCAACCCTACCCTTCGGTTTGCCAACCTCCAGATGGTACATTCTTAATATATATTCAGTTATCAAAGTTTTCTTATACCAACTCCAAAAGTATTTAATACAAAGTCAGAAGCTCCAAGCCTGAGTTACAGATCCCCAAATGCTCAAAATCCCCAAATTCTCAAAATGCCACAACCATAAGCTATAAATCAAGGTTACAATGAAACACTGCTAGGAGGACTGATATGCTGCTCTGAAGCCCTTGATAGTCAGGAGGCTGGTGGTTGAAGGAGATTTCTTAGAGCATGGGTTCCACTTGAATTTTGATCTCCACAACAGAAGGGAGATGGAGCTTTGAAAAAGAGGACGGAAACATGTTTATATGACTGGGATACACGTCGCTGCATAACTTCCAGTTGTTGATCTGTTATATATATTTGTCATATTGAGAACTATATCTGGCAGGACATGGGGAGAAACAGGATGCTCTGCTAGGTGGACTCTGGTCCTGATCCATACAGGCATACAGGGAGACCCAGTTTGGCGTAATGGTTAGGAGCGCAGACTCTAATCTGGGAGAACTGGGTTTGATTCCCCCACTCCTCCACATGCAGCTGCTGGGGTGACCTTGGGTCAGTCACAAGTTCTGTCAGAGCTGTTCTCTCAACGGCAGCCCTCGAAAGAGCTCTCTCAACGCCACCCACCTCACAGGGTGTCTGTTGTGGGGAGGGGGAAGGGAAAGGGGATTGTAAACTGCTCTGAGACTCCTTCGGGTAGTGAAGGGCAGGGTATAAATCCAATCTCCTCCTCCTCCTCCTCTTCTGCTTCTTTTTCTTCTGCTTCCACTGTTCTTTTTGAAAAGCAAATGACACTTGAGTATCAGGAAGTATCTACTGAATATTTGGTGTACAATGAAGGTGGGAACGTTCATCTCAATGGAAAATATTGCCAACTGGAGAAAAAAGAGGAGTACAACAGTTATGAGTCATTGTTGGAAATTATGATTTTTTGGGGGGAGGGTTAGCAAAGAATCCCAGAATATGCCTTTCAGGACTGTTTGGTTAAAAGACAGAATACAAGCTAATTTATTTATTTATTTACTTATTATCAAATTTATACCCCGCCCTCCCTGCAAAGCAGGCTCAGCAGGCTAATGTGTGGTGAAAATGTTATTTTTGTCTAGAAGGAGTAGGAAAATGTTTTGGCCAATGCGTACATATGATATGCTTGGGTGGTAGAAAGTGCCGTCAGGTCACAGCCCTGTATGGTGTTCGAGGCATGAGATGTTCAGCGGTGGTCTGCCATTGCCCGTCTCCGCGTGGCAACCCTGGACTTCCTTGGCGGTCTCCCATCCAAATTCTGACCAGTGCTGACCCTGCTTAGCTTCCGAGATCTGTTGAGCTCAGGCTAGCCTGGGCCATCCAGGTGAGGGCACGCTACATTTAGTGTGGGAAAATACAGCTGAAAAAATGATTAGTGAAGGCACATGAGGGGCCTTGGTTTCTCTTTGATTATCTCTGGGGCGGGTTCATATTGATTGTGAGCCCACCTTACCATTTATTTTTTTTAGGTCATCACCATATTTTCGGCTTCCAACTACTACGCCGTTGGCAGTAACAGAGGTGCCTACGTTAAACTGGGCCCGGACCTGATCCCTCACTTTGTGCAGTATCAAGCCAGCAAGATGGCGTCTCAGCTGACCATGACACAAAGGCAAGGTTTCCTTCCTCAGTGTAGAACCCCCAAGGGGATTTCATAAGAACATCGGACGAGCCCTGCTGGATCAGACCAGCGAGGGTCCTTCTAGTCCAGCATCCTGTCTCACACAGTGGCCAGCCAGTTCCTCTGGACAGCCAGCAACAGGGCAGAGAGGCGGAGGCCTTCGCCTGATGTTGCCTCCTGGCTCTGGGATTGATTGGGGTTGACTTCAACTATTCTTAGATGAGGCAACCCCTTGCTGTGGGGGCTTGGGGCTTGTATTGGATCAGCAATCTGTAGGGTTGCCAGCTCTGGGATGGGAGAGACCTGGAGTTTTTTGGGAGGTGGACGCGGGGGGGGGAGGTAGGGTTTGGGGAGGGGAGGGGAGGGACATGAACAGGGTGCAATGCCATAGAGTCCACTTCCCAAAGCAGCCATTTTCTCCAGGGGAACTGATCTCTGTCACCTGGAAATCAGTTAAAATCCCAGGAGATCTCCATCTATTACCTGGAGGTTGGCAACACTAGTGATCTGGTTTGATCCATTTAACTCTTGTTGTTATGACTTTCATTTCTACAATCTTACCTGCTGCTTTGCAACTAGCGGGGGATAGGGGGGGACTTACCGGAAGCATCAGGGAGGCCCATCCGACGTACCGTGATGTGTCCATGTCACTGCCCGTGTGACCTGGAAGTGACATCATCATGTTGGGGTGATGCTCTGGTACTTGGGCAAAAAAACTCTATGGTAAATTTGGATTCTACCATAGAGTTTTTGCCCAAATACCGGAGCGTCGCACCAACATCCCGGACGTGATGATGTCACTTCCGGGTCACATGGGCAGTGACCTAGACACGTTACTGCACGTTGGATGGGTCTTTTTTGGGGGGGGGTAAGTTCCTCCCTTGCCAGCCTCCCTTGCCAGCCTTCGTACTGGCAGGCCCTGGCAGTGGGGAACCCCCACCTTCGCAAATGGCAAATGAAACCAGACAGGAGAGATGGGCGAGGCATCAGAAAGTGAATGGAAGCAGGTGCATTTCCCCTGTATTTAGGGACCGTTACAGATAAGGAATGATTAATGAGGCCCTGCAGGAAAGGTAAGAGAGGTGGTGCCCTGTTGGTATAGTCCGGGAGGGAGTTTCAAGCAGCAGCATAGCTTCGCCCTGTTCTTAATCCGCAGCACTGGTTGTGTTCATTTCCACCTTCCTGGGTGTTTGTATTCTGCTTGAGTCTCCCAGAGCTATTTGCCTGGTGCAGGTGGAGAGGAGCCATAGTTCAGTAGGAGAACTCATGTTTTCCGTGTAAGGAGTCCCAAGTTTATTCCTTTTGGGTCTTTGGCTAAAAGATGGCAAACAAAAGGAAGACTGTTCTCTTCCTGCTCTGGGCCTAACTCTAGTATATACATCACACTGTCGATGGGTCTGTTCCTGGCCTGCGTTTGGAGAGACCCTGTTGAAACTTCGATTCTCAGGTGTGCATCCAAGCGGTAGAGGGAGAAAAATATTTTTTAAACCCACTGGCATCGTTTGCACCAGTACATCACTCTGGGTACAGCCTGGAAGTGATTGGCCGAATCTACATATGCATTTTAGAATCAGCTTGGTGCTGCTGTTATCCCATGTGGTTTAGAACTGCTGCGCCTCTGCTTTCAAGTTAGCATTAGGGGAGCTGTCCACTTTGTCTTTTTTCAGTTATCTAATCACAATCTATTGTTCATCACTAGATGGCCCCTGGGGGTTACTGGAGTGTTCTGGGACTGGAATGGGAGGCCCCACAGTGGAATGGTAGCCCCTGGGGTTAGCCAGGAGTACTCTGGAACTGGAATAACCGGCTCCAGAGTAGAATGACAGCCCAGGGGGTAGGAGATGTGTTCTGGGACTGTATTGATAGGCCTGGCATTCCAGTTCCAGGACACTCCTTTTACTCCAAGGGGATGTCATTCCACCATTGGGCCTGTCATTCCACTCCCAGAACACAACTGCTACCCCGAGGGGCTGTCATTCCACACTGGGGCCTGTCATTCCAGTCCCCGAACACTCCTGCTACCCCCAGGGGCTGTCATTCGACTCAGTGGTCTCTTATTCCAGTTCCAGAACACTCCTGTTACCCCCAGGGGCTGTCATTCCACTCTGGGGCCTGTTATTCCAGTTCCAGAACACTCCTGATACCCCCGGGGGCTGTCATTCCACTCTGGGGCCTGTCGTTCCAGTTCCAGAACACTCCTGCTACCCCCAGGGGCTGTCATTCCACTCTGGAGCCTGTCATTCCAGTTCGAGAACACTCCTGCTACCCCCGGGGGCTGTCATTCCACTCTGGGGCCTGTCATTCGAGTTCCAGGACACTTGCTACCCCCGGGGGCTGTCATTCCACTCCGTGGTCTCTTATTCCAGTTCCAGAACACTCCAGCTACCCCCAGGGGCTGTCATTCCACTCCGGAGGCTGTCATTCCGTTCCCAGAACACTTCTGTTACTCCTAGGGTCTGTCATTCTTACCCCTGTGAACTTAAAAATGAGAAACGCCATGACTACAAAGCAGGAATTGCAACTTTTTGAGCCAAATGCAAGCTCTTACTCGAAAAAGTTGCTGACTGTGCATTGCCCAGTCATATTCAGTGATTATAAATTTATAAATGTAATAAACAGATAAATTTCAAATATTTTTTTTTTAGGACTGGTAAATAGCAATGAGTAAAAGCAGCCATGCAGGAATCAAACCAACAATGCCCTGGTTTACAGGGCAGGAATTTACCCACTGAACTAAACACCAGGTCTTGTGGTTTAGAACTGTCAACATTAGGTTGACAGCGCAACGAAACCAGAAAGGAGGAGTTAGAGCAGCAAAGAGCAGCATTCATTTAAACCAGTGCGGAGCGGCTATGACAATGGAGTCACTACCAGAGGGCGGGAAACATATGCAGACACTGATTTTTATTCTGGCGCACTGCCAGCATGAAACCGGATGCAAATGTAGACAGTTTGTTAGGGAACAGGAGCGAAAATGTCAGGAAACTGGCAAGAAACACACGTGGATTCAACCAAAGGGTAGCTCTAGGAATCGCCAGAAACTCAATGGCTTTACCCATAAACAGTGTCTCATACAATTGGGCCCGGTCTAGAAGTTTCCAGTCAGAGCAGACAGTTCTGTTCTCAATGGGGCAGTGGCCTGATTGAGTGTAAGAGTCAAAATGCATATAAAGACACAAATGTATGTAACTAAGCCTCATTTTTTTAATGAAAAGCAATTTTAGGAGGCTGTGGTTATGAGCTGAGGTGGTAAGAAAGCTACTGGAGCCTTGTCACCAGTTTTACCGCTCAAAACGAGTCCTTTTACATATATCCTAGGGTTACCAGGCCAAGCCTGCCAACCGACAGGAGGGCTGGGAGCAGGGACGTTGTATGGGATGTTGCCACAGGCGTGATGACGTCACTTCCAGGAAAAACCCAGAATCGGCAGCCGGCAGCTCTAGGAGTCACCAGAAATTCTATGGTAAAATCGTATCGTTTCCACCCGGCTGTCACTTCTGGGTTTTCCCTAGAAGTAATGTTAGCCATCAATGCAAGCAACACTGCCTGGTTTTAAAAAAAAAATTCCCTGCTGCAACGTGGAGTGGCAGCAGTTGGCAATGAGAGGGGGGTCCTATGGAGAAAGAGTTGCACTCAGTGTTCCCTCTAAGCTGAGTTAGTGTGAGCTAGCTCACAGTTTTTTAGCCTCCGGCTCACACATTTTTATCTTAGCTCAGGAAGGAGGGCTCCAGCGCAAACTAATTTATGCAGCAGCCAAATCGTTTGCTCGCAGCTTTAATGCCAGTAGCTCACAGAGTAGAATTTTTGCTCACGAGACTCCACAGCTTAGAGAGAACATTGGTTGCACTGATTCATTTATAGGGTTGCCAGCCTCCAGGTGGGGCCTGGGGATCTCCTGCTTTGACCACTGATCTCCAGCTGACAGAGATCAGCCCCCCAGGAGAAAATGGCCGCTTTGGAGGGTGGGCTCTGTGGCATTGTGCCATGCTGAAGCCCCTCCCCTCCCCAAACCCCACCCTCTCCTGGATCCATCCCCAAAGTCTCCAGGTATTTTCCAACTCAGACCTGGCAACCAATGTTCCCTCTAAGCTGTGGAGTCTTGTGAGCAAAAATTCTACTTTGTGATCTACTGGCATGAAAGCTGTGAGGGAGCGATTTGGCTACTGCATAAATGAGTTTGCTCTGGAGCCCTCCTTCCTGAGCTAAGACAAAAATGTGTGAGCCAGAAGCTAAAAAACTGTGAGCTAGCCCACATTAACTCAGCTTAGAGGGAACAGTGCTGGCAACCTCATTCATTTAGAACCCAGCTAGTTGTTCACAGGAAGCATAACATCTCTTCAGATGAGCGGAGCAGGGGTTGTATGTACGTGCGTGCGTATGGCTCTTGGCTGGTCTTCATGCAGCAGAAATGCTTCCCTGTTCCCTGCAGGATCAGCCGAGTGGAGGAGACGGCCTACCAAGCGTTACGGGAGAAACTGTTCGCTCACAGGTCAGACCTGACCACTGCTTTCAAGAGCTTTGATAAGAGCAATTCAGGTGAGGCTAAGGAAGACGAGGATGCTGGGACAGGAGACATTGCCTGTCGATGCTACACCACGAGGGCTGCCGGCTCTGGCTTGGAAGCCTGAGGAGAGCGGGTTTGGGGGAGGGGATGGACTTCGGTGGGACATAATACCATATACCTTGTGGCTAATAGCTTCTCGTGGACGTCTGCTCTTAAGAACCTAAGAGAAGCCATGTTGCATCAGGCCAGTGGCCCATCCAGTCCAACACACTGTGTCACACAGTGGCCAAACCCCAGGTGCCAACAGAAGGTCCACCAGCAGGGCCAGAACTCCAGAAGCCCTCCCACTGTGGCCCTCCCAAGCACCAAGAATACCAAGCATCACTGCCCCAGACAGAGTGTTCCATCTGTACCTTGTGGCTAAGAGCCACTGATGGACCCCTCCTAAATATGTTTTTCCAATCTTCTATAAAAGTACAGCATCAGCCTCTAATAAAAGAATTGCCTGGGAAATACAGCAGGTACAAGGAAGGAGGTTTTCATTAGGTCAATAAAGGGAATCAGTTTTGCAATTCTGGGTTGGGAAATTCCTAGGGATTCGTTGGTAGACCCTGGGGCAGGGGAGGGATCTCAATCGGGGTATAATGCCGTAGAGTCAGGGGTCATTTCGTAGAAAAAGAGCTAGGGGAACTCATTAGCATAACTCATTAGCATATGCCACACCCCCTGACATCACCGGAAGTGTGTCATAAGGCCACACACCCCGCCCCCAACGGTCCCGGCTGCCGGCGGCGGCCTTGCAGCTCCACTGCCAAGCCCCATGAGGGGCCCGGCAGTGGAACTGCAAGGCCGGCGGGAGTGCAAGGAAGCC